TCGACATATGAGGGGCAGCAAGACAAGCTAGTGGCTTCCGGTGATTTGGGATTGCACAAATACCACCAAAAACTTGTACTATAGGGCTGCAGCTTTGGCCTGCATGCAAGCTAGTGGTCGATGCAGACACGGTGGGCAGCCACAACCTGCCCCACTTGCATCCATAGTGGACCGTGACACATCCCTATAGCCGACAGTAGACCTCAGCCAATGACGGATGTTGGGGACAAGGTCGGGGCCAACTCCACACCGCTATGTCATTGCCTCCCTCCTTGGACGCCATGGCAATCACCACCGTTGGAGTCATGTAGGCCATGGACTGAGGCAGATCCAAGGGGCAAGCTCAAGGGATCTCGGAGGTGGGTGGATAGGAGGAAGGGTGGAGCAGAGAGAAGGCGGCAAGCAGCAGCCAGTTCGGGAAATAAGGGAGGTGAAAAAAGTGATAGGAGGAGGTGGCGGAAGGGTGTGTGTAGGGGTGAAAACGGTACGGATATTTTCCGACCGTATTCGAGACCGAATCCGTATAGAGGGTTTAGATCTGTCCATATCCGAGTCCAAATATTCAACATCCGATAACATCCGTATACAAATACTCAAATCACATATTTATGATGTCGATATCCAATCGTATCCTATCCGGCATGGTTAACACTATCCATATTCGAATCCGAATCCAGACAAAAATATGAAAACAAATGTAATATCAGTGATATCCGATCCGTTTCATCCCTATGTGTGTGTGCATGTGGTGGTGCTTCGTTGTGTGTGTGGGTGGGGGGGGGGGATTCATTAGCTGCAGCTGAGTACGTGGAACAGATCAGACCATGTACGGGTTACACTTGATATTCGTACTTAAAACTATAACTTTATTTTAAGCAGTAATGATGCGCAAATAATTAATAAGATTATTGAATTATAATTTATATAGTTAATAACCCCCTTGGTGACGCGCCGTGTCGCGATCTGGGCATGGTGTCAAGTGAGCAAGGATCGGGTCGTCGTTTCCTTAGTGGCGCGCTACATCGGCGCCCGGGTATAGTGAAAAATGAGCAAGGGTCTTCACATCTGAGTCGACGGGTGCGAAGGGTAAGGAAGCTAGTTGAACCAACTAGGATCCATTTAGGTAGTTGGTATGTAGGGTCGCTTACAGGTAAGTTAAGAGAATTAGTTGATACCGTGACTAGGAGGCGTGTAAATATATTATGTGTTCAAGAGACTAAATGAAAGGGTCAGAAGACGAAGGAGGTGGACAATACAGGTTTCAAGCTTTGGTACACGGGGACAGTCGCGAATAGAAATGGAGTAGGAGTTTTGATTGATAAGAGCCTCAAGAATGGTGTGGCGGGAGTGAGAAGGCAAGGAGATAGAATTATCGTAGTCAAGCTTGTCGTTGGTGATATAGTCTTGAACGTAATTAGTGCATATGCCCCCCAAGTAGGCATCGACGAAAGTGCTAAGAGACAGTTCTGGAAAGACTTAGATGGCCTGATTAGAGCTGTACCTAGTAGTGAGAAGCTTTTTATAGGAGGAAATCTTAATGAGCATGTAGGTACTACAAGCACATGTTTTGAGACAGTTCATGGAGATTTTTGGTATGGTTGTAGGAATCAGAAGGGGGAGGAAGTTTTGGACTTCGCGGTAGCTTTTGATCTGATGATAGCCAACACTTTCTTTAAAAAGAGAGAATCTCATCTAGTGACATTCGGTAGGGGACAACATTCTAGCCAGATTGACTGTCCTCGCAAGAAGAAAGGACAAACGAGCATGCTTGGGTTGCAAGGTGATACCAGGGAAGTGTGTTGTTTCTCAACATAAGCTTTTAGTGGCAGACTTTCGTTTTCAGGTGCGTGCCCGTAGGGATAAACAAGCTAAGATTGAAAGAATAAAGTGGTGGAAACTGAAAAGAGAGACGTCAGAGGTATTCAGGGAAAGGGTTATCAAAGAGGGCTCTTGAAAGAAAGAAGAGGACATAAACAACATGTGGGAGAAGATGGCAACTAGCATTCGAAAGATGGTCTCAGATGTGTGTGGAGTAATCAAAGTAGAGGCGAGGCTAAAGATACTTGGTGGTGGAACGAGGAAGTCCAAAGGGCTATTAAGGAGAAGAAAGAATGCTATAGACGCTTGTACCATGACAGGAGTGTGGACAACATAGAGAAGTACAATGTAGCAAAGAAGACTGCAAAGCGAGCTGTAAGTGTGGCAAAGAGTAGAGCGTACGAGGACCTTTACCAATATTTGAGTACGAAGGAAGGAGAGAAGGACATTTATAGAATGGCTAGGGTTCGTGAGAGAAAGACAAGGGACTTCAACCAAATTAAGTGCATTAAGTATGAAAGGGAGCATCTCTTGATGAAGGATGATAAGATCCGATATCGATGGCAACAGTATTTTGGCAAATTGTTCAATGGTGAGAATACGGGCACAACCTTTCAGTTGGATGACTCTTTTAATGACACCAATAGGCGCTTTGTGCGGAGAATCTAAGAATCTGAGGTCAGAGAGACGTTGAAAAGGATGAAAGGAGGTAAGACGATGGGACCGAATGGTATCCCAATCGAGGTGTGGAGATGCCTCGGGGACATAGCTATAGTATGGCTAACCAAGCTGTTCAACCATATTTTTCGATCGAACAAGATGCCTGACGAGTGGAGGAGTATATTGATACCGATCTACCAGAATAAAGAGGATATTCAAAGTTGTACTAATTACCGGGGAATTAAGTTGATGAGCCATACTATGAAGCTATGGGAGAGAGTTATCGAGCATCGCTTGAGAGCAATAACGCGGGTCTCTATAAACCAATTTGGTTTCATACCCGGAAGGTCAACCATGGAAGCCATTTTCTTAATAAGACAAGTTATGGAGCGGTATAGGGAGAAGAAGAAGGACCTACACATGGTTTTTATTGACTTGGAGAAGGCTTATGATAAAATACCAAGAAATGTTATGTAGTAGGCTTTGGACAAACATAAAGTCCCAACGAAGTACATCGGGCTCATTAAGAACATGTATAACAATGTTGTGACTAGTATTCGAACAAGTGATGAAGACACGGATGACTTCCCGATTAGGATAGAACTACATCAAAGATCAGCTTTGAGCCATTATCTGTTTGCCTTAGTGATGGATGAGGTCACAAGGGACATACAAGGGGACATCCTTTGATGTATGCTTTTCGCGGACGATGTAATACTAGATGAAATCCGGACAGGAGTGAATCAGAAACTGTAGTTATGGCGGGAGACTTTGGAGTCCAAAGGTTTTAGACTCAGTAGAACTAAACCTGAGTATATGAGATGTGACTTCGGCACTACTACTCGGGAGAAGGAAGATATTACTTTGAAAGGTCAAGTACTGCCTAGAAATGATACATTTCGATATTTATGATCAATGCTACAGAGAGACAGGGATATTAGTGAAGATGTTAGCCATAGAATCAAAGCAGGGTAGATGAAGTGGTGCCAAGCATCTGGTGTCCTATGTGAGAAAAGGGTACCACAGAAGCTAAAAGGCAAGTTTTATAGGACAGCGATTAGACCTGTTATGTTGTATGGTGCAGAATGTTGTCTACGAAAAGACATGTTCAACAGATAAGTGTCGCGGAAATACGTATGTTGCGTTGGATTTGCGGTCATACGAGAAGGGATCGAGTTTGGAATGATGATATACGTGATAGATTAGGGGTAGCACCAATTGAAGAAAAGCTTGTCCAACACCGGTTGAGATGGTTTGGACATATTCAACGGAGACCTCCAGAGGCACCGGTGCGTAATGGAATCCTAAGCCAGAATAGTAACGTGAAGAGAGGCAGAGGAAGACCGAAGTTGACTTGGGTAGAGGCAATAAAAGGAGACTTGAAAGAATGGAATATACCCTAAGACTTAGCCTTAGATAGAAGTGCTTAGAAAACAGCTATTCACGTGCCTGAACCTTGATTGCTTCTACTGGGTTTCAACTCTAGCCTACCCTAACTTGTTTGGGACCTAAAGGCTTTGTTGTTGTTGTTGTAATTTGTAATTAATATGATAATTAGTATGACTAACAATGTAGTTTTATTATTGTTTCTTTATGTATAGAACTTACTCCATTCCAAACTATAAGACGTTTTGGCTTTTTTTAGATACGTAGTTTTTGCTATGCAATTAAATACACACTATGTCTAGATATATAGTAAAAACAATGTAGCTAGAAAAGCCAAAACGTCTTATCATTTAGAACGGAGGTAGTATACTTATTATATTTTGATATCTCATTACATGATTTGTTTCTCTAAAATCCTTGGATAGATATTTATAGTTAACAAAGTTAAATGGATATCCAAATGCAAATCGATATCTGAACTATCTGTTTTGTATTGGTATCTAGGGACATTCGGATCTATATCCGTATCCAACAAAAAATATGGTAAATAGTGACATTCGTATCCCATTGCATGTGTATCTGTGTTTCCACCCCTATGCCCCTATGACGACTGATACGTGAAAGCATCAGGAAGGAGCCGAGGGGGACTTGGATGGAGTGAAAGATAAATAGAAATAGGAAGGAAAATAACTGATAAATACGGTCAGCACAGCAACGGGTGAGCCATGTCAAAAGCCTTCAACGTCAAATAGAATTAGCCTTGAGGGCAAATATTTCTCTGCCCACTTAATATCACACTCGCAGGAGATAGAAGACCCTAGCAAAGAAGTATTATATAAGTTCAAAAGAGGGGACTTTCGGGAGCAGATCAGGTAGTCGATAAAAAATTAGTAGCTGAAAAGGAATGTTATCTTTTAAACAGACTGAAGATCCTGGCTCATTATAGGGACCCTGTAAGGGGAATCCAGGGGAGTAACTCAATTAGGGGTGAAGTGAGTATACCAGGCATACTAGTACCACTGTGAGAAACAATAAATGATTTGAGAGTCTAATTCTGGAAAAAGAAAATCCAGTGGAATAAGAGTGAAGCAGTTTCTCCCTTTGGGTGGAATACAGAGCATATTCAATTTCTCCTTTCAGTTCCTCCAATTTGAAAATCTGTTCCCCAGGGACCTCAAGGTAGAAAAGGGTCTAAAGCAAGGCATCATGAACAAACCTAATGATAGGGCTCCTTGCTTTCCATTGTTTATCTGTGACTGCTTGGAACGGAGCTTGAGGACATCTTGTTCCATTTGCTTGAGCTTTAGTTTGACATCCAAAATTTCCTGCATAATCAGGTAAGATAAAAGAAGACAGAGCTGGTCAGAAGTGCTCAAATGGTAAGGAGTCGATCAAGAAAAGTGTAGCTTACTTCTTTCACAGGCTTGATCCTACAGCTCTTACCACCTTCATGTACAGAAGATGGAGTCTTTGACTTTGCAGGGCTGCCAACTTGCTCACTATGAGATACTTCAGTTTCCAAACTTCTCCGCATAGTTATTGGAGGCAATTTTGTAGAGGCCGAAGCATGCCCTTTTGATGGTGTAGATATTTTACATGTGGGCTCAGAAACAGCAGCAGGTGAACCCCTCATATCAGATGTGAACTCATTAAAACTTTGTGAATGAATGCTTTTGATTGGCACGGATAAACTGGACTTATGGCTGATAACATCTCTATCTTCAAGATTATTGCGCCCCACAGCACCATGAAACACACTTCCTTCACCAAAACTTATCCGGCCAACAAGCCTGCTTCTGTTTGCCATCCCCGCATGATCATGCACTTGCACTTTGTTGGCATCTGCATAGCTATTGGTAGACTTTCGGGAATCTGCTTTATCAAATGCATCATGTCGAGCATTTGAGGGGACATGGTATTTTGTTTCATGCTCAGCCACCATTAACTTGGACATCTTATGTACTCCATTTTGAATAGGTATTTCATGAGTTTCTCTAACTAAACCATGATCTTCTATCACCGGCTTCCCTAGCCTATCCCAGACATTGCGACGCCGTTTCAAGGAAGCTGGTGATCTTCCATCATAAATTTCTCCAGCCTCAGACAACCATCTTGTAGAAGCATTTTTACCAAGGTGCTCACCATGGTGGAATTCCTCTGCATTAAGTTTCCAACGATATAATATATTAGTTTCAAACAATAACTTTTACCTTTGAGCTGTTTGCTATCTGATAGACGGTAGATCCCAAAACATCACACCATACCTTTTTTTCTAGATCAATACATCCAAATACTAAAACACATGAATAATGCTCAACCAAATGTAATAGCTTGGGATTCCAAAATATATAAGTCACGTGCATCAATTACACATCAGATTAAAAGGCACAAGCACATAACAAATTCTGTCTCTTCCATCAATTTTTTCATCATCATGCAATTTATAAATAAAAAAAGGAAAATAACACAATTCCTCTCCTTGTATGGAAAATTACATCAAGTTTCAACTGGAAGCTGGTAAAATCTATCCTCTTCTATGTGCTCAAGTTTGAGCTCAATCTTCAAATATAAAGGGACTGGTTTTAAAGTCTTTCACACAAATAAGTCTTTCACACAAATATCGCCAGATGCTTTGGACACAAACTAGAAATTTAACGAAGCAAGAGCACAGAAGAAGCCAAATGCTGTACTAGACAAATATTCTAGCTGATAGACATTTTTTTTTAACTTTGATAGAGACAAATTGGTTAAATGAACTTATGCAAAGCTTACACACAATAGACAATACAATTTATATTGATGTCAGATTCTTTACGGGGCAGAAATTGTGGATTTTTAGCAAGAAAAAAAAAATTTGTAGACATTTAAGATAGTGGACCCTTTATCCATGACATTTAAATAGCCTGCCATAGCAGTTTTAGATGCCTACAGCTACAATATTGCCAATTGTTCCGCTATTACAGCTACCAACGGTTTAGCTCCGTTAAACACAGTTTAGTGATGGATAAGTCTCTGTGGTCTTTGTGGGGCTGCAGCAGTCTTTGTGGTCTGTTTTTAGATGACAGCAGCAGCAGCATCTTTAGAGGACAGCAGCAGCAGCATCCTGGACAGAGGACAGCAGTAGCAGCATCCTTGACTTGCATCTTAGCATCCTTAGGATAGCATCTTAGACTAGCATCTTGGCATATGCTTGGCTAGCTAGCAGCCTATAAATATGTATCCCCAACCCCTCAGGTTGGCAGGGCATTTGTGTGAGTTTGTGTGAGAAATAAACCAGAAAATTGCTCAAACTCCTAGTGTCATCCTCTCTCGATGAGAGTAAGAATTCTGCTACTACCGAGAGTGAGAATTCAACGACTAACATTTAGGACTTCTGTATTTCCTCAGTGTATAAGAGGTTTTACGCATAATTGCTATACCATCTGTATATATTTGGGCCGAGAGCCCTCATAATGAATACAAGTGATATTGGTAACATGGTACTGAATCAAACTAGGATTAAACTTCTTCTCAGGCTGCCACAGACGATTTTTTTTCACCGCACATCGCCGCCGTTCTTCATCGACTGACTGTCCATCCTCACATGGCTGTCGCCTGTCTGTGCTGGCCTACGGCTCCCCACGCATCTCATTGTCCAACCGATTTGCTGCAGAGGCTCTCTCGTCCAATTCAAGTTGTGGTCACCTGCTTCCTCTGTCCACTCAAGACTGATGTTGCTGCCGCCACTATTCTCTGTGTTTTTGCAGTCGCTGCTGCTTCTCTCTTGTGCTCTTGCCGTCGACTACTGCTCCTTGTAGGTGGTGTCTCTGAGTTCTTCGTCTGGTGTACAGCTTCCACGTTGTCCAGTTATTTTTCATGGCACCAACTATCGCGAGTGGGTTTTCCATATACACCTACATATGTGTGGTTTACTAGTGATCTACCCTGCCCAGTGTTGGCAAGGTAAACACAAATGGATCTCAGATTCAGATTTGGGTAAAGGGCAGAGGGCAGCTTGGCCCTAGGCCGCTTGTTGGAATTGAAATGCAAATGGCTGAAGTCTTACACAGTTGTTGCCCCTGCTTTTATAGGCAGAGGGCCTCTCTACTTTCTACCTGCTCCAGCATATACCCTAACCACTAAAGTGGATGCTGAGCATATCCTAATTGCTAGGCTTTAGCAGCCGAAAATAACCTGACAAGGCACAGGAAGATACATAGAGGAGAAAGCACTAGGCTTAACTCACAATTCTACCCCTAAGCCTTGTGCTAAGCCTTGGAGGTGATTTGCTATAGCCCAATCCTCTCCCTTCCCCGCGACTTGGTGAGAATATCAGCCAGCTAATCAGTAGTGGCGATATGGCTGACCTTGATGCTCTCATCCTCCAAGCAACCTCTGATGAACTGATACTCGATGCGAATGTGCTTGCTTCTTTCATGGAAGACGGGATTCTTGACCAGAGCTAGAGCAGACTTGCTGTCCACCTTCAGCTCAACCACATCCACCTTCCTGCCAAGGAGCTCTGCTAGCATCCTTGACAGCCATAGTGCCTCAATTGCTCCAGTGGTGGTGGCAATGTACTCCGCTTCACAGCTTGAGAGGGCCACCACCTTCTGCTTGAGGGACTACCAGCTGACCAAGCAATCACCGAGAAAGAACATGGTCCCGGTTGTGCTCTTGCTGGTGTCCACTTCGCCGGCGAGGTCGCTGTCGCAGTAGCCGACGAAGCGCGCCATGTCAAGGCCCTGCCATAGTGAAGACCGTAGTCGAGGGTGCCCGCCACGTAGCGTAGGATGCGCTTGACGGCCTGCAAGTGCTCCATCGTTGGCCTCTCCATGAACCGGCTCACATACCTGACTGCAAACGCGAGGTTCGGCCAGGTATGGACCAGGTAGCGCAAGCTCCCGATTAGCCGACGGTAGTGGGTTGGATTGACCTCCTCCGCCGTGCTGTCCCGACTGAGCTTGAGCCGCTCCTCCATCAGGGTGTAGGCTGGATTGCAGCCCATCATGCCTCCGAGCTTGAGGATGCGCTTGGCGTAGTGGGTTTGGCGAAGGGCGATGCCGCTGGCGTCTTGGCGCATTTCAACGTCGAGGTAGAAGCAGAGGAGGCAAAGGTCGCTCATGTCGAACGCCTTCCTCATCTACGCCTTCAACGCCTCCACTCTTCCTTCTTCAGCGCCGGTGATGATGAGGTCGTCGACGTAGACACCGACGAGTAGGACATTGCACCCACTGCCTCGCCGATAGACCGCCGCCTCGTGCGCGCTCTGCTTGAAGTCCATCTTCTTGAGAATAGTGTCGAGCTTCGCGTTCCAGGCGCGCGATGCCAGGCGCAAGCCGTAGAGTGCCTTGCGCAGGCGGTACACCTTCCCTTCTTCTCCGACGACGGCATAGCCTGGCGGCTGGTGCACGTAGACCTCTTCCTTGAGATCGCCGTTGAGAAAGGCGGACTTGACGTCCATGTGGTGGACCTGTCGCCCCTCCTGAGCCGCTAGCGCGAGGACACGGACCGACTCCATGCACGCCATGGGGGCGAAGGCGTCGTCGTAGTCGATCCCCTCTTGCTGGACGAAGCCGCGCACCACCGGTCGCGCCCTGTGCTTGATCACCGCGCCCTGCTTGTCCTTCTTGAGCTTGAACACCCATTTGAGGGTGATGGGGTGGTGGCCGTCGGGCAGAGGCACTAGCTCCCAAGTGCAATTCTGTTTGACGGACTTCAGCTCCTGCTCCATCGCCGCACGCCACATTGTGTCACCTTGTGCCTCGGCATAGGTAGTTAGCTCGCCGGTGTGCGTCAAGTGCAGCTGAGCGAAGAGTCGCGGCGCCTAGCCCGGTGGAGTCCCGTCACCGATGATGTTAGTCACCGTGCGGTGCCGAAGTGGCTCGTCGTCGTAGTAGGCGTCCAGGCGATCTTCATCGTCGTCCAGGGGCGTCGCGTACTCGACTTCGGGCTGGCCGCAGTGCGCTGGTGTTGCAGTAGGTGAGGCAGGGGACGCCGTAGTTGAGGTCGGAGGTGGTGTAGCATGCTGGGGTGCTGGTGGAGTGCCCGCCGCCGCCGATGAGGTTCCAGGCTACCCTGGATTTGGTGAAGGCGATCGCGGCGGGGCTGAAGAAGTGGACGACGCTGGTGATGATGATCCCGACGCCGATGGAGATGCACACTGTGCTCCCCCAGCACCTCCAGTCCACGCATACTCGACGGTGAAGTCGGGGAGCGCTGCCGCCAACCCGTCATCCACCACCTTGTTCGATGCCCAGCCGTGGCCTTCATCGAACACGACGTCGCGTGCCACTTGCACACGCCACGTCACCGAGTCGAGCACGCAGTAGGCCTTAGCCCCCTCTGCATAGCCGATGAAGACCCCCGGCGAGCTTCGATCGTCGAGCTTGTCGATGTTGTTCGAGCTTGCCGACGTTGTTCAGCTTGTTGACGAAGGCCAGGCAACCGAAGACCCGCAGGTAGCCAACCGCCAGCTTGTGCCCGTGCCAGGCCTCATACGGCGTCTTGCCGTCGAGTGTCTTGGTTGGCGAGCGATTGAGCAGATGCACGGCAGTCATCATGGCCTCTCCCAAGTAGACCGCTAGCATGCCGCGCTGCATCAGGGCGCGCGCCGCTGCCACCACCGTCTGATTGCGGCGCTCGACCACGCCGACCTGCTACGGTGAATAGGGTGCGGGTGGCGCTAAACCCCCTCGTCGGCGCAGTACGCGGCGAAGTCGGCCGCCGTGAACTCGCCGCCATTGTCTGTGCGCAGCATCTTGAGCTTGCGGCCACACTCCTCCACGGCTGCCTGATGGCGCTTGATGGCGTCTGTAGCTGCTGCTTTGGAGTCGAGCAGCACAGCCCACATGTAGCGGGAGGCGTCATCAACAAGTAGCAGGAAGTAGCGGCATCCTCCAAGCGTGGCTGGTGACACAGGACCACAGAGGTCACCGTGCACGAGCTCGAGCTTCTTGGTGGCGTGGTAGGAGGCTTGACGTGGGAAAGGCCGGCGCTCCTGCTTGGTCACCACGCAGGTGTCGCAGAGCTACTCGACGTGGTCGACGTGGGGCATGCCACGTGTAACACCCTAGGTGTTAAGCATGCATTTGGCATTGGCATTGCATGAGCACAAGCATCATTGATCATTCATGAGCATGAGCATCTCAAATTTTATCTCTATGATTGCTTATATC